TGGCAAATTTGACTGCAACTGGTGTCTACGTCCAGGGGATAGAGTCGAGAAAGGTAAGGGATATGTTCAAGTATACCCTTATCAGGAAGAAGTAGCAGAACGCTGCCACACAGACATGACTGAATGGGGACAAAACGGAGTGGTTGGTCAAAACTTTGGGGTGAAGGGGCCCACACCTTTGATGTCACTGCCTTTTTTTGATGTTGTCTCTGGATTTATTGTTGACTCCATGCATTGCATTGATTTAGGGGTGATGAGACAACTGTCTACCTTGTGGTTTGATAGTTCTTACCATAGTGAGCCTTGGTATATAGGAACCAGAATCAATGAGATAGATAGGAAAATGAAACATTTTCAACCTCCATCCAACATCACAAGATTGCCTAGATCTATCTTAACCAGAGCCTACTGGAAAGCCTCAGAATGGCGTGCTTTTCTCTTATTTTATGCTCCAATTGTTTTGAAATCCATTCTTCCAGGTAGATTTCTTAGGCACTTCCTCCTTTTGTGCCAAGCAGTGTATGTCTTGCAAACAACATCCATTACACAGCTGGAGCTTTTCTATGCATCTCAACACCTGAATGAGTTTGTGTGTGATTTTGAGACCTTGTATGGTAGATCCCACATGACATACAATGTTCATATTCTACTTCATCTTGGTGACAGTGTCAGAAACTGGGGGCCCTTATGGTGTTACAGTGCATACAGTTTCGAAGGGTGTAATGGCTTTCTGTTGAAACTATACAATGGCACTCAATCTGTACCCTTACAGATAGTAACATCTTTTCTCTTACTAAAACAAGTAGAGAGCACTGGCAATATGGTGATGATAAATGTTCCACCTAAAGTAAGGCAGTTGTTTGACACAATGCTAGATGGCTATAATACAACTAAAAATGCAAGAAGAGTGAACGGCACTGTGCTTTTTGGAAGAGGTTACTTCAGAGCTCTCAATCTATATGAAAGGGAGGCTGTTGAACAACAAATTGGATACCCTGTCAAAGATCAAGCTATGTTTTACCACAAAGCAGTAGTTAACTCACAGATATTTCTAAGCATTAGTTAAAAAACTTAAGAGGGATAACACTCTAGTTAGGATATCTGATGGCAGTGTTTGCCAGATAGTGTCTTTCTCAATGTTAGGAGTCACACTGGCTGTGAACATGCATTATGTCTAGCCAGAAAGTGTGTGACAAAACCTAGATTGTTTCTTCAAGGCTGCTATGGTGAATCTAGGTGCCAGATCAAGCATGTGATGTCAATACCATTTGAATTTAGTGATTTGATTGCTCTAGACATCTGCCAACTGTCCGAAAAATGTGTAGTATATAGAAAAGATAATGGTTGTTTAATTTCCTTAATGCCTAACAATTTAGAGCGAGATTAAAGTCTGAGCGGGTTACTCAGATTACAGAGCAGGTTACCAAGTGCCCCACTTGCACAAGCCAAATGTAACACATTCATTTTAGTGATTCAAACTGTTTGGTGTTTTTTCATTGTGTTTGTGAAACGTGTACCACAGACACATTCTTGTCTTCCTAGCTTCTTTGGAAAATGTAGACAAATGACGCACACATGTAACAATGACTAGACATGAAATGAACAGAAACATCATGCAAACTCTGAATCCGCAGAGGAATCTGTAACTACAGCGGCATTATTTCAGCTGTAATAACATCCCACTCTGTAAACACAGTTAATATTAATGGCCGTGCTGCTGATGTTGTGGAGGACTTTAAAAGTCCTACTTTGAGCTTTGGAGGCTCATTTGTGCCACCACAACACCACAGCACCAAACTGAGAGACTATTCCTGATTTCATTTAATCTCAGACATTTATAATTATTATTGATTGTAAAGTGTAAATAGTGTGTTGATACTTGTATAATACTGCATCTCTTCTTTTATATTCCTTTGTGCTGCTGTGTCGACTGAAATTTCCCCTACGAGGGATTAATAAAGTTATATCTTCTCTTACTTTGGCCCTCTGCTTGAAAGAGTTTTACAGCAACTCTGATGTATAAAAAGGCTAAGCAGCATGTGTTTTTAGCTGAGTGAGTTGAACAGCTTCTGACATCCTGGAGCTGGTGTAGAACAAGAAAAAAATGCGTAGGCACTTCCTGGTTCATGTCATGAGTGGAAAGACACGACAGAGTTCACAAGCTGAGAAGCTGAGGGTTGATGAGGCCACGAAGTCTTTCGTGATGAAATCATCGAACGTGGTGGAAACTTTTCATGAAAGAGTCCTCCCAGAGAAAGTGTGGTGCCCACTGTCTGTTGGAAACGTGTTGATCACAGCTCATCATCTGAATGTGACCAGTTTTAAACTGTTTTTTTTAACTGTTTTCTCTTCTTGCTGATAAAACAAAGAATCAGCTCAGGAAAAACAGAGCAGACAGACGAGCAGCAGCTCTCAGTCAGTCAAAGTAGTTCAGTTCAGACTCCACAGTGAAGACATTTAAATTAAAAGCAGGTTTTTCTCAGTTTAACTTTGTGTCTGTGAGCAGCAGCAGGATAAACTCGTCTCCTCCCTCATGATACAGTCTGTAGTATTTCTCATGTGACTCCATGATAAAGATTAAATCCCAAATGTGGAGGCAAAGTGTTTCAGCTGCTGTTGAACTCAGAGTTTCAAACTCTGACTGATTCTTTCACTTTAAGAAGGAAACATGATGATGTTACTGTGTGTAGTTTTATCTTCAAGACGTCATGCTGGCTGGGAGCCAAGTTGCTCTGAACAAAGAGGTTTCATTAGTGATCGCTCTGGAAAGAGTCTGACGTGGGATTCAAAGGCTTTCACTGGACGTTTTTCTGCAGTTTGAAGCTAACTTTAACTGATAAAACTCAGAAATAAAGAATAATAAAGCAGGAAGTGTTTTGTTACAACATCTTTACTGAGCAGCTTGTTGTTTACTCTCTGGCAGCTTTTCACTCACTCTAACACTGTTGAGTTCTTGTTAATAACTTACAAACATTTGACTTGTATTTATAAATTATGTTGTTGTTCATTGTTGCTTAAATATACTGTATGTATGTACATGTGTATATATTAAATATAGCTACAGTTCGCCATCTTTATGGGGCTTTTCCCAGAGGAAATGAAGGTGACTGTGAGATGTTTTAGATAACATAACCTGCTGGAACTAATCTGAAGTTTGAAGGGCGTGACTTTGTGTTGAAAAGTGGTGGGGACAAAAGGGCTCAGATTAGTGGCGGGATGATACATTTGGGTAATGAGACGTGACGATGCACGAGATCACAAGAAGATATTTAGCAGTATTTAGATAAAATATTTAATGCAGAAATATATGAGGGGTGTCTGGGAGACCTCCACCAGAACATTATGAGCATTTAACTGGTCATTTCCTGCATCCTGGAGACATTTTCTGCTCCAATTTACGGTGGAAATGTCTGTTTTTATATGAGGGGAAACTATATTGCATTGTAGGTTTTCTTATTGTTAAAATGAACCTCTCTCAAAGCATTTTCATTTGTTAGTTTACTTTTCTTGGTGTTGTTTTTCAGAACGTTTTTAACAAATGCTTTCAAAAAGCGATGGGGCCAAAATCAGCCCTTTGAAAATGTCCTCAGTGACACCTATACATGTAAACTCTGTGTAAAGGCCAACAGAGTAGTTAAGCACTATTTTGATTATAGCTACGCTATAAGGTTTTATTATTACGGTATCGGGCTTTTATTTTGATAACCAAAGAAACCGAAAGTAAAGTGACGTAAATGAACCGGGCAAACGGCGAAAAGGACGAAAGAAAAGTCTGAAAAGGTTCACGGAAAAACAGTTAAAACTACAAGGTTTAGCTTCGGTCAATTGGGGAACAAGGTTTGTAGAGTTAATGAGAAATATATTTGAGCTAGCCTACTGGAATTGTTTATCGTATAATGTATAATTTACTAATGCTATCGTATTGCAACTAATGTAATGAGCTGTGTAACGTTCGAAATGTGATGATAATGCATGGTTTATTTGTTTTTACTCAGCTCTTACGTTGGTTGATGACAATGAAAGCAATAAACGTCATTTAACCATCAGTTCTGGCCTTCTCAACTTTGACTGGATGCTACACTCTGCAGGACGCTCACTTTGTGTCTTTGTTGCTGACGCAGTTCTGTTCTCCTGCAGCGAAGCTCCTGTGCTGCTCCCTGCTGGCTGTCTGTCTGCATGCACAGCTGAAGCACAGATATTTAGAATATCCGTAACAATGTGGAAAAGTGTTTTAACTTTAATGCATGCTGGGAGGTGAGGCATGAAGTAAATGATCAATTGGACGTTTACTCACCTTAATTCATTATAATACATTATACATAAACAATATAAACTTGAAACTGTAATCACCCTGAGAATTGTTGATTGAATGCAACAGATGTGACAAAACCAATTAAATTCAACATATGTTTTTAAATAAATGCACAAAATCCCGGAGGCAAAGAGGCAGGACAGACTCTTTAATTATGATTTCCTCTGGTTACCCCAGGACAGTATATATACTGTCAGTGCTTTGTTAAAGTTGCTTCTTTATCTATTCTATTCAGACTGTGTGAGTTTATGGTTTCTTGTAACCACTTTACATGAAGTTTAATTTCATACAAACGTTTTTGTTTTTCTAACTGTGACTTTCTGTCATCTAAAGTTATGTTGAGTCGGGTGTCAGTACCTGAGTCCAGGTGCTCAGTTTAAGAGCAGTTTTTTAACAGTAAAATAAACGTATAGTATCAAAAGCAAAACTCATTATGCAAATGGACCCATTCAGATGATGAATATTATTAAAAGGTGCACAAGTATGTTGCCATGGCAATTTACGTTTCCAACTAGCTCTCTCTGTACTGGTTTGCCCTCAAGACCTGCTCTTCAATACCACACAGCACCGCCTCACACCCTGTACACCTGAGACAGAAAAGGCCGACATGGAGGGAAGGAGAAAGCCGATTGTGAGTTCGGAAAACACATAATTGAGACATAAATCTAAAGTGTGTGCACAGACACATTAGTCCACTGTTCTTTTAGAGAGCAAAGTTAATTCAACAGAGAACCGCTATGTTTCCATTTTTTCAGGCAGTGGGAAGATCTGGTCCACGTCCAACTGAAGACACGAGACTCATATGTGGAGACGGCAGTACTGCTGGACACTCTCACAGCAGGTTATCTTCGTGGTTAACTCATGTCACCCTGTATACAGACTAGGCTGTTATAAGCCAGAGATTATTCAAGGTTTTACTTTAAGATTTGTGATTTTAATTGTAGGCCAATTTTCTTGTATTCTTGTCCCAGCTCCGTATTTTTTTTAAAACATCTCAATCAAATTACAAATAAAGATATCACTCATGAATCAAACACTCAGGAGGGCTCCAGTAACCTTGCTTGTCACATGACCATCCTGTGTGATGTGATCTGGAGGTTTCACTGAAGGACGTTTGATAGATCCATGTTTGGGGACCACAGTAGGCTGTAGATGTTTCCCTCTTTAGATTTTAGTTCTGAATCTATCTGCTGTGCAGTAAAATGTTGCAGCCTCAGCACCTTTCAGTTAACTCACACCAGTTTAGCTTTAACAATAAAGGTTCAGTCTAGCTGGTGTGGTTGCAACACTCAGAGCAGGTCCTGACCTCCCTGCCTATAGGGCATTAAAGAATTTGACATTGCTGCAGTCACACCTGATATCTAGTGATGGGAATTACATTAAGTAAAAACAGACAGAGTGTATCTACAGTTTTGGAATAATTTATCCACTAACTATTTAACTTTCATTAGAAGGGTGTTATTTCTGTTACTCTTGACTTATCACACTTTTTACTTTATAGCTTTCTCTTTTTAAGGCCTAATATAATTTAGCTATAATAAAAAATAATCACCCCAAGTACAGTTGTCATGAGCGAGACAAAACATGTTTATTTCTGCTGTACAGTTGGGCACTTTAAGATTCAAGTGTATGGGGAGTGACTCTCGTAGCATCAAATGGCCACTGGGTTATTTGAGGTTTTTGCTACTTCCGGGAGACGTCGGTTGTGCTGCGAATGCTGAACAGATACTTGTGGTGACTGACTCACTCATGGAGGAAACTTATATAAAAAAACAAAAAAAAGACAGCAGACACACTAAAGACTGGTTATGTTATACAGAGGGAGCAGCAGGAGCAGCAGGAGGAGCAGCAGGAGCGGGTCTGTTGTCTGGATCTGTTGTTCTCTGTTGGATTTTCTATGCTGGATCATGGCGGAGGCGCAGACTGTAGAGGACACCGGATATCGCTAAGAAGCAGTTTCTTCCCCAGAAAGCAACAGTTTCTACCTGACGGGACGATATGAGGGTGAGGAAGTCAGTTTAGTGACCGGCCATGACACAAATACAACATTTATTCTCTTTTACACCGCAGATTTATAGCAGGCAGTTTCAGGCCTAAAGGGTTCATAGCTGTTAACCACTGTGTAAACAGTAGAATAAATACATAAACAACTTGTGGAGAGAAACATTTTACATCCAAATGTTGTTTGGCATAAGTTGGTGAAGTTGGTCTCTGGTGTGGCGGTCAGGTGACCTGATCCGAGACAATGGTTGGTTATTTTCTTCTCCCCTCCTCTCACTTGACGGATGCCAATACCAGTCAGTCTTTATCTGCTGTCTGTGGTCATAAGGCCGCTTGAGCTCCGTCATGCTGCGTAAAGGGAGCAGATGTGGTGTCATGGTGCTCTCTGTCAACATGTTAATGGCTTTCTGCTGTTTCACGGTCTTCTCTCCGCTCTCTGCATATGGAGGTGAGCTATGTGTTATTAGAGTTAGAGAGCTGTAGCTGATATGTCTTTATTTTATTTTTTTAAAAAGCCTTTGTTCATTGCCATCTCATCCTGCTCCGTTTGTCCTACAAGCCTTGTTTCAACTTTAAATTGTACATGTTGGAGCCATTCTGTGTATTACGATGGGTTGGTCTACTTAAGACATTTGGTAATTAGTACAGGTGTGGCGCACTGCCAGGTGCGTGGTTTTTAACCGTGAGGCGCGGCGTGTAATTATGGAGACTGACTTGAGTTAAGTTATTATTGAATAAATGTTTTATTTTTCGTTATGTTAATAAATGGATTGGCATATCCGACGTTAAGTTCAGACTTTTGAAAGTTTATTATTTTATTTTATTTAATTATTTTAAGCCACAAGGAAACAGCACGCCCGACGTGCAGAACGACTTAAATGTGCGCCAACAGTACATATTCTTCATGAGATGTGCGCTACAACTCTGAGATATATATAGATATAGATATAGATATAGATAGATAGATATTGGAGAGAGAGATGGGTGTGGAGAGGGAGAGAGAGGGAGATAATTATTAATAATAATATTTTTTCGGACTTTTAAAATGAATGGGTTCCTATGGTAAAGACTCAACTTTCTTTCAACCTACTCAACTTTAAACGCTTTCTGCTGGAGCAGAAAGATGGAGCAGATGCAGCTACAGACTAAATTTGACTTTTTCTAGTTGTACCTGGTGCCATGTTCCGTATCACTGCACTCCACTGACCACCACATTATTGTTGAGAGCCTGACAAGCGTTTGTATGCTCATTCCCTGGGGGAATACCTATTGGATGGTTTATTCTTTGATTGATGTCTTTTGAACCAATAGTATTTAAGATAAGTGGGGAAAAGTACCTCCTCCGCATGTGTACAGATGTTCATTAGGGTTAACGGTGTTCCGTGCAGACTGAATAACTTGATTTTAATGGCGTAAATGGACGTTATTACATGTACCATATGTGAGTTATTAATTTATTTTAAAAGAGAGGAAGTTATTTAAATTATTAATAACTGTCAGGACATTTAATTTCTTTAAAACATAAGTTAATTACTGCTTTAATAAGCTAGAAGGCACGTGACTTAAACATGAACCATGTAACGTTAAATGTTAGTGGACAAAGTAGAAAGAACAAGAAGAAGGGCAAACAATGTGCATTTGCTAAAATGTTTTTAACCTTATCTTAATCCTTTATAAATATAAACGTCTTCACTGCGCACAGGATGACCTGCAAACAGCGGCTGTGTCGACAGACGTGCTGCCTGTCACGGTGTGCGAGTGGCACCAAGCGGTCATTGCCCGGAATTGACGTTTTAAAAAATCCTATTTCAAAGAATTTATTCTTGAAATAGTAATATATTTGATTTATGATAACATAATAATCATTTCATAAAGAGTGTAGTACTGTGAGGAGCATTAATTCAAACTAAATGTACATTTTCGCTCCCCACCCAAGTTTTGTCCCTTGTTTCCCATTAAAATCGAAAAAAAGTTGTGACCCGAATCATAAAAATTATGTTTTTTGCTATAACTTTTTTAATTTTTGAGATATTGGCCTGAAATTTGTAGGATAAGCTGTTTGCCATATCGTCTACATATTCTACTTTTGAAAAGTCAGGTACACCATAATATATAAAAAAAACCCCACTAATTACGCCAAATAATACTCTTTATTTAGACAGCACTTATAAAAACAAAGTTACAAAGAGTTAAAACTATTTGGAAATACAACAGTGTACTTAATAGACCACTTTGTGTAATAAACTGACCGTTTTAGAGGTTTTGGTTAGAAGCAAGTTGCTGCAATACTGATAAATTATTCATTAATAACCCCAAAATTGGCCATAGATTAATGCACTAATTATAATTTTCATTTGTTTTTACCGAATGGTTTCATATCTAAACTCCGTGACAAGTTTTAGATTAAAAACACAAGCATTCAATACGTATCTATTTTATGTATTACATTACATTTCACCCACATTAAAATCGGGTCGAATCTTTCAGAATCAAATCGGATGCAAGTTTGTATTTTCGAAATTTCATAATCAGTGGCATCATCCTCATAATTTTGTCCTTCAAGCCAATAGCCAATTACACATGTATCTCCTTGTTTCTTCAGATATTTATCAATTTATCCATAATATATGGTTTCACTTTTTGTGTCCTTGTCAAACCAGATGTGGCATATTCTTCTTCCCACAACCTTTCCCTCTACAATTTCATCAACTACAGTCTTCATTCAATTCAATGCTCGAATCAAAGTTTGGCTTCTTCAGTTTTGCCTCCAGCTTCTTCCTGTCACTTTCCTGTCTTTGCTGCTGTTTAGCTGCAAGTCTCTTTATTACTTCCTCTTGAATTTCAGCACAGTTCTCTTTTCTCCGTTGCCTCTGTTTCGTTGCATTTTTTATGGCAACTTTAATCAGTTTTTCTCTTTTTTCAGATGTCAGTCCATCCGGGTAATCCAGCACTTTATTTTTCTGAGCACGAATCTTACAGGAGATGAAGCACAAGGTGGCATTTGGGGCCTTGTCCTTTAGAGCAGAATACATGCCCATCACTTGCTCTGCGTCAATGTTATGTAAACGAGCACTTTCTGTCTACTTCCTCAGCTGATCATTTACATCCATGTTAAAGTACCTCTGGTACTGCCTTGTGAGGACATTGTGGACTGCATTTCCTTCCATCACTGACAGAAAGAGATCTCTGTCAACAGGTTCCACCAGAAGGGCCTCAAGATTTGGACTTCTGGACAGCTCAGCACCAAACATCACGTGTCACAGAGAGAATTTGTTAAGGTTCTTGTTGAAATACTTCTAACCTGTCTAGAACCTCCTTTACCATGACCAAACCTTCAATGTGACCGATTTCAGAGGCTGCGCCCTTGTAAAATCTCGACGTCCAAGGCCCAGTCAGCACTTTCCCCAAAAGACCAGGCACCTGAATTTCCTCCATTGCAACAGGGACTTTGAAAGTCATGTTGAAGGGCACCTCCGAGCCTGCTGCATGAAAATGTTTGTCCATTAAGAAACTGCACAAAGAATTTCTTAATGTGTGTTCATGAAGCCGTTCACAGATCAGGAACATAACATGGAGCCTGTTTCCTCTGTATCTTGGCAGCAAACCTGTGGGACATCTCCGATAACAACACCAGTGCGCTTTGCAAACTGAGAAATTAAAGTGGGAATGTTTTTTTGTAGGAAGATTATTTACTATTGCTTCATAAACAAGCATCCTCATTTCTGTGGGATACTGCTTCTCCTCCTTTTTTAATTTCGAGTCACGCTGCTGATCATTAACTGTATCCTGTAGCCACATATTGTCACATTGCAGCTGGCAGATAGCGTAATTTTTTTCTCTGAGCTTTCCTTGCAAATCATCAATAGTAGCATCTTGTTGGTCATTTAGCCCTTGTGCCCGGATTTTAAAGTGTTTTAAACGATTATGCTTTTTTTGTAATTTTTTTTAGTTTTCCTTTGACATCACAAAGTTCCTTCACTATGACTAGTTTGGTTTCTAGTATCTGGAATGAATTTCAGCAATTATGAAGTCTTTTTTTGCTTATGATGCATCTTTTCGTTTCAGAAGTTGTCTAAGATGTTTTACTTGTACAACCTGTAGTGCTGGTGCCTTTAATTTAGCTCTAAATTTTTTCACTTTGTTCAGGGGATTTTGCTTCATCTCAGCTCTTTGTCTTGCATCAAAAGCTAATGTCTGATGCATCTTAAGTTTCCTTGGTGTCAACAAACCCTTTCGCCGTAAGGAACGAATGGATAGTGGTGTGTCAGAGGTGCCAGGGACCTTGGACTTCATCAGTGTTGCTGGACTTTCACTTGATGTTTCTGTTTCTGATGCGTGTAACACGTAATCCAAATCAGTGGGTCCAACATCTCCAGTGGAAGGCCGACTTGGGTCGTCATTTATATCCACACCACGAGGAGGCTGACCATTGTTCAGCTCAAAGGGTCCTAATGCTGGGCTGGGAACAACATCAGTGATGGAAGGAAGGTTTCTTGCTTGATGAGAGAACTCAATGGAAGGCGTAGTAGGACTGGGATCCTCAGACATCACTACATCAGCTTGAACATCAGGCATGTCAGGGACTGCTGTGAATTTTACAAAATCTTTTATTATTATTTTTATTATGCTTTGCTGATGAACACTGTCACATTCCAGAATCATCAGCAAGTATGATTTAATATAGTGTTCAATTTATATGATTAATATTATGAGAGTTACAGTTAATGAAGGAAATAAAAAACAGTACATAGGGTGATGCTTACCTTTGTGTAGCTGTCCATGTCTGACTGACGAGTGAGATGGTCCTCATATTTCTGCACTTTCTCTGCCAAAGGTCTTATGCGATGGGGATCGAGTGCACAGTGGAGCTTTTCTTGGATAGCTTTCACAGTTTGGGCTGGAGACTTGTCACCGCCATGATAAACTAACAGCAGATGTCCATTCTTTAGTTGATCATGTGTAGATGGCAGCTCACTGAAGTTTTCCTCCAGAAACAACCGGCCCCTTCCTGGCGCTAGCTTCTCTGGACATTTTTTTTTACCTTTGGCATTTTTGCTGAATACACCAGAAAAAATGTGCAAGACACTTAATTTTTTGTTTACAGTATTTTCCATACCTTCCAGTCCTCCCTTAAATGTTGTGGTCTACAGCATAAATGAGGACTCCCTCAGTCCTATCAGTCATACTAACTACATTAGACAATGAAGACTTCCTCTCTCACTCACTGTCATTAGAGGCTCAGTTCAGTAACTATCTTCTATTAACATTATCTGCAGTGACTAATATCCCACGAGAATAACTCCATCTAACAAAACAACTTTTATAGTTTTATTTGATATGAGAAATTTCGCATCTACACCATGTCTATGACACAGTGTTGGCTGCTTCACATTCTTGGTCCATGAACCAGATTTAGCGGGTAATAAAACTCCTGTGGTCGTTCAAATTCATTGAAATTTCGTTCACTTGTACTTTAGCAATTAAACTAAATCAGCTCCCCTAAAAGCATGATATTTGTTGACCGCATGCTTTGACATTAATCTCTGTATTTCTCTATCATCATGGATCATGCGGAGCATCAGACTTCATCCAGCCTGAGAGAACGATGACCGACCGCCCACACCGGGCTCTCGCATGTGCCCCTAAAACTGATATAGGTATAGATATAGGTCTATAGTTGGCTAAAACATCCGGATCAAGTTTGGGCTTTTTCAGAAGAGGTTTAATTACAGCTACTTTAAAGTACTGTGGTACATAGCCTGTTGATAAAGATAGATTGATCATATCTAGTATAGAGGTGCTGACTAAGGGTAAAACATCTTTAAGCAGCCTAGTTGGGATGGGGTCTAAGAGGCAGGTTGATGGTTTAGATGAAGAAATTATTGAAGTTAGTTGGTAAAGATTGAGGGAAGCAAAACAGTCTAAACATGTATCTGGTTCTACAGCTGTTTCTAAGGTTCCTGAGTTAAGAGATAAGTCGGTGCCAGTTGAGGGCAGGTCTTGGTGAATTTTGTCTCTAATAGCTAGAATTTTATCATTAAAGAAGCTCATGAAGTCGTAACTACTGAGAGCTATGGGAATACTTGGCTCAATAGAGCTGTGACTCTGTCAGCCTGGCTACAGTGCTGTGGTTGTTCCTATTTTCCTCTATTAATGACGAGTAGTACGCTGCTCTGGCATTACGGAGGGCCTTCCTATAAGTTTTAAGACTATCTTGCCAAATTAAACGAGAATTTTCCACTTTGGTGGAACGCCAATTCCTCAAGTTTCCGCGATATTTGCTTTAATTTGCGAGTTTCAGTATTATACCATGGAGCTAACCGTCTTTGTTTTAGTATTTTCTTTTTTAGAGGGGCTACAGAGTCGAGTGTCATTCGCAGCGAGCCTGCAGCACTATCAACAAGATGATCGATTTGGGAGGGACTGAAATTAGCATAGGAGTCCTCCGTTACTTTGTGACTAGATAATGTATTTAGAGCTGTTGGAATCGCATCCTTAAATTTAGCTATAGCACTATCAGACAGACATCTTGTATAGAAATTTTTGCCCAATGGCGTGTAGTTCAGCAATACAAACTCAAAAGTTGTCAAACAGTGGTCGGACAAAGAGGGATTCTGTGGGAACACCCCTAAATGTTCAATTTCAATACCATACACCAAAACAAGGTCGAGGGTGTGGTTAAAACAGTGAGTCGGTTCATGAACACTCTGAGAGAAGCCGATGGAATCTAACAAAGAGATAAACGCAGTACTGAAGCTGTCATTCTCAACATCCACATGAATATTAAAATCCCCTACAATAATAACTTTGTCCGTTTTAAGGACTAAAGTTGACAAAAACTCTGCAAATTCAGATAAGAATTCAGAATACGGGCCAGGTGCTCGGTACACTATAACAAAAAGAATTGGTTGCAGTGATTTCCAGCTTGGGTGCGAAAGACTAAGAACAAGACTTTCAAATGAGTTATAGTTTAGTTTAGGTTTAGAGCTGATTAATAGGCTAGAGTCGAAGATAGCTGCAACTCCACCTCCTCGGCCTGTGCCTCGAGGAATGTGAGTATTAATATGACTGGGAGGGGTGGATTCATTTAGGCTAACATATTCTCCATCACCCAGCCAGGTTTCAGTAAGACCAAATAAATCAATATCATAATCTGATATTAGTTCATTTACTAGTACACCTTTAGAAGAGAGAGATCTGATGTTTAAGAGTCCACATTTCATTTTCCTATTCGTTTGCACTATTGCTCTTGTGGTTTTAATTTTTATGAGGTTTTTATGCACAGCTCCTCTTCTGTTTACCTTTTTAAATAATTTCAATGGTCGGGGGGCAGACACCGTCACTATAGGATTTTCACTAAGTAACTCCTGAAATGGAGGAGCAGAGAAGTGTGTTAGACTGCGACTCTGCGTAGGGTTTTGGGTGCTGCTCCTTCCCAAGTGGGTGGATGCCGTCTCTCCGGATCAGCCCACATTGTTTGCACATTGTTTTGACTCCCCTCCAGCTCTCTGGAGCTCAGACAATCTCTGCTACCTGCATGACTTAATTTATTCTTTCACCCAGATTCTTTGTCTTTACAATTGCTATCTTTATAATAACAATTGCTACCCCACACAGAACAGTAATCCTGGTCACGTGCTGATTGCTTTGGTACCAGTTGTCAGAAAGGGGCTCCTGTTCAGCTGTGAATAGATACAAAAAACATATCACTGAACACTTTGCCAGTGATAATCTGTTACAGTAAATCTGCAGTGGCAATTCAAGAGTTCTGTTCCTTAGTATCATAGCCATACTAGCTGACTAAACTGGATTTAAATAGGTACCATGGAAGCTGTCACCTTCAGGGATTGAGATATCTTGCTCTTTGGACTCTGATGAGAAGAAAAAAAACAATATGATACAGCTACCACCTAGTCCACTTACAATAACAATCAAAATACCTCTCAATTTAGGCCTGATGAAAGGCTCCAGCTGTGTAAGCCGTATTTTTAATAATACACTAAATATAATGTACAGTAGGTTGTCTTCATTCATAGTGTGGCCCATTAAGGAACAGATTCAAATTAGTTTACCCATGTGTTTCAAAAACAGTAGTTACAGAAATTGTACTTCCATAATAGATTGCTTTGAAGTTTTCATTGAGAAGCCTAAGAACATGAGAGCCCGAGCACAAACATATTCACAGTATAAACATCATAATACTGTGAAGTTTTTGATGTCAATAACTCCACAGGGAGTCATATCATTTGTGTCTACTGGTTGGGGGGGGCGAACAAGTGATAAGCACATAACCCAAAACTGCGGCTACCTGGAACATCTGTGACCTGGTGATTTGGTCCTAACAGATCGAGGGTTTACCATAAAAGATGCAGTGGGCTTGTACAGTGCACATCTCAAAATACCTGCCTTCACTAAAGGGAAACTGCAACTGCACCCAAGTGAACTTGAGACTACGAGGGGACTAGCAGCTGTTCGGATTCATGTAGAACGTGTCATTGGTCTCGTGAGGAACAAGTACACAATCTTACAAAGTACAATACCCATCTAAACCTGCCTTACAGGTACAATGAGCCATTAAAACAGTCCCATCATCCTGTACTGTGATCCAGGGGTGTGTTGGGGTTACACTGAGGCTTTGTGAATGCTTCACCTGCAAATTTTAACCAGAAGTTAACAAACTACATGTTAGCTCGCTAGATTAAAACATGTACTTTAAAATGGGGACATAATGTTATTCTAGACATCTAGCAAAAGCTATATTTACAGTAGTGGTTGATTTATGTTATGTTGCTATTTGCTTGAATAACGTTAATGTTAATATCACTTGAATAAAACACTGCCACTTACCCTTCCTGTGATCAAGAACATTTTCTTCATCTCCAGATGATTTTTGGGATCATTAACCCATCCTGAGGTGAAGTAGCGGTAGGCTCCGGTGCTTTTAAACGCCTTGAGGGCTTCCCCGGTGTATGGAGATGGATTGTGGACGAGGTAAATGTAAATATCAGCAAACGTCAAATTTGGCAGGTTTTTGCTAGACTTTAGTGGAGTCAGCAGTTCACTGGACAGTAGATATGGATCGAAACCTAACGTATCAACCTTCTTCAAATACCGTTGCTTTTCGTCGGTGTGTGCGACATCATAAATTCTAACGAAGGAGGGGCTGCGCAGCGGTCCTAAAGATGGCGGCCACAACAAAAAAGTCACGTGACTGAAATCCATGACGGTTCACACATTGAGCTTTAACATTTTAAAGCAGTACAGCTGCAGAGACGGAAACGCCTCTTCTTCTCCGATGGATACAGTTGTGTTTCTGCTGCTCCTTCTGTCTGTAGCAGCCTCTGGTAAAGACGAGCTTTTATTGATTCATGGAGGCAGGAAAGTGATTTAAAATAATGTCATTCTGTGCATGGATCATATGCTCAATGTCGAGTTTTCTCTGTTTCCACTAATCGCAAAAGCGACACTACGGTGACGAGCTGAGTTTGCTTCTCTGTGTTTGTCTCGCGGTGGCGGAGAGAAAAAATTATCAATCACTTGAATTACTCTAACGTTACCGCCGCTTCCAGCTCTGAAACGTGTTTATGATATTTACGGTGTGGGGTATTTTAATAACTTTAGCCTGACCGGTAGCTGCTAACTAGCTTAGCTGCTAACTAGCCTAGCTGCTAACTAGCCTAGCTGCTAACTAGCCTAGCTGCTAACTAGCTAAGTTATCTTGTGGCCGGTTAAAGAGAAACACTGTACAGGGACACACATCCTTTCAGGAAATCTTGTAGCCTACTGCAACCTCCTGTATTTTATGTCGACCACATAAAGTTTTCATAGTGCAGTAAAATGTTTGTCATTGTTTAACTATCTGATGTTTCTGGATTAATATTTTGCTGCATTAATGTGAATGTTGTATTTTACTGCTGGAGGAGTTTTAATAACTTTAGCAGAATCAGCTTTATTGTCAGGTATGTGTACACACAGGTTTAATCTACAGCAATGCATCATAGATAAGATCATCATGTTTACACTATTTGAGATTTATGTGTCCATGAGCAAGACACTTAACCCCTAGATGCTCTAGAGGCGTGCGACCTGAATGAATAAATGTAAATTGTTTTAGTAGTCTGGTATTTGGGACAATGTTTTCATTGTCATTTGGCCGGCTGGAGCTTCGTCTTTTATTAACCACAGTTCACTGTGTGCCTGTTGAGCTCAGTCAGTAGTGCACAGGACTTCCTGTTTGAAGGGTTGTGTGTTCAGTCCCTACTTCCTGCTAATGTTATTTTTCTCACTTTTCAACAAATTGATTATGAAGATCATTTTACATGTGCGTTTTAGTGTGTACCTCCCCGGCGATTGGTCAACATCAACCAATGGACGCTTATGTTCGTGTCCCCTGTATCTCCAGGCAGAGGGAATTCCTGCTTTTTCTCATTCAGGGGAATCTGATCTCACGTTTTCTGACGGCTTTTTCAGAGTTGTGTCATGCAAGCCAGAGAGTCTTTTGAATTTCCTTCACAACTTTTCAAAGTAAACGCTTTCAGTTATACACGACATAAATTAGTGCTACAAAGACATTCGCACACATTTATTTTGTAGGCACAATCACTTAAGAAGAAGTGATTATGACATCTGTTTCAGCACCAGAGGCTATAATGTATTTTTATTTTTTGCTGCTATCAAAGCAATCTGGCCATGCACAAGATATTATTGCTGGCGGGCCAGCTTTTTCCCACGGGCGGCCTATTGCCAACCACTGGTGCATAGCAATATTTTTTTTAAAGGCCGTATAACCCAGCCCTAGTGTATAAGATAAAAGTTTTACTTTGAAAATCTCTTTATTTACAGTTAATTTCAGGTTTTAATAAAGAGTGGATTTAGGAAGGTGTGTGAATAATGTATGAAATGTTTTTAATGAAATAGCAAAGGTACCTTATTTGTGGATCGAGTCTCTGCAGTGGACAGAAGTAGATTTAGCCACTCAGGATGCCAATATTTGCTCCTTCTAGCCACCTCCTCTTGGGAGCAACAAATTCCCCTTGTTCTACGTTTATAATAATAATGTTGCAAACCGATGCAAAACGTTTTGAGATTGAACGCGCCCCTGGAATAGTTTAGCCGGTTGGGGGTCCAGGGCAATAAAATCCTGTAACGTTTCCACAGTAATTATTGAATGTTCCCATGATCTCAGGTGTGAAGAGGCCTTCTGTTTAAACAAAGATGTTCTCACTGTATCGTCCTGTGGAGTCCTTTTGAAATGTAATTACTTTTTCTCTCTGGATGTTTTTAGATGTGGTACAAGTGAAACCTGGAGATGATGTCACTCTGTCATGTCAGGCTGGTGAAGCCTCCATCAGAGTTGTAGAGTGGGTCAGAACTGACCTGGAGCCAGAGTACGTCCTCCTTTACAGAGATGGACTCTCAGATCCAACCCACCAGCATCCATCCTTTAAGGACCGGGTGCAGCTGGTGGACAGAGAGCTGAAGGACGGAGACGTGTCTTTAATTCTGAAGAACGTGAGCAGCAACGACGCTGGAACATACGAGTGTCGAGTTGCAGCAGGAGGTTCAAGACGTAAGAGAACCAACCTTGACACTCCACCAATCAGAATCTACCAGCTGGAGGTTTCAGGTGAGTTTGTGGAGGTCAGTGTGTCTGTGTGCCATGTTGTAGCTGCACTTTATTCCATGTTGATTCTGAGAGTCAAACATGAGGAATATAGAAGATATAGAAGAGTAAATGGAGGCTGTTCCACTGTTCACTCATTTCCTGACTAATATGCACTTTGATCTTCAGGGTCCAACAGCGGAGACGTCGAGGAGGGAAACTACGGTCTTTACTACGGACTGGGAGCAGCTTTTGTTCTGGTTTGTTTAGCTGCTGTTGGATTGGCTGTTGGCTGGAAATATAAAAGACATAAGGACAAGAAACCAGAACAGCGTGCTGCTGATAAAGCAGTGAACGACCAGTTACTCTGACTTGTCACAGACTCTTTCCACTTGTCAATATGTGTTTCATACTTTCAACATGATTTTCAGTCTTTCTGTTGTTGTGAATGTGTAAATCTGGCGTTTGAGGCTCTCCACCATGATAATCTGCTTCATCAGTGCAGACAGACGGTGGTGGAGGGGTTTGCGTGCTCGTTGACTGAAGTTGTCTGGTCAGGTCTCCATGACAAATTGGTCCCAGGAACAACAGTCTGATTTCTGTTGCTTCGCCAACATGGGTCCCGTTTTTAAGACCTGCGTTGGGACCTGTTCCGGTTGATCTGGCTGGTGGATTGTGGTACCAAGTGTTTCACTAATAAAACTGGGGAAAAACTGACAAGTGTAGTGAAGGGCAATATGCAATATGTATAAAAGAGGAGGAAGTTACCTGACGGCTTTACAAAATGAAGTGAATAAAAATGTTACAGTAAGGAGAGTAAATGTAGCTGGTTGCTTGCAGCCTCAGCACTGATGTATCACAGGGAGCTTCATGAACAGATTAACCAGCTTTAAACAGAAAAACGGTCTCTGATGTCAGAAATGTCAGCAGACAGAGCGCAAACCAAACCTGTTGAAACCAGGTGGAGAGAGGTTTATTTATACATACATTTATATGATGAATATTGAGTATTCTAATGTTTTCTTTTAGAATTTGATGTTTTAAAACCTGTGATGTCTGTATATATTTATGTTATAAGCTAATGATATCAGAAGGACGTGGCCTTGTGTGATTTAACCAGAGTTGTTGATTAAACTCTGATTACTTTTGAAAACTGTTAAACAAACCAAAAAGATCAGACCTGTGGTCAGAGCATCTGATGAAACTCTGTCAAACTGAGAATAATTGACAGAGTAGAATTACACGATCGGTACAAAAGAACATGTGGTTATGCAATAATTTGTTAAAAAAAAAAAAAAAAAACAGCGTAGCCAGGACGCCCGCTTTTTGGCGCCGTGGAATTGTGTAAACAACGACGCATTTTTCGTCGGTCTTGAGGCGGCGAAAAAAACCGTCGCTCTGTGTGCTCATGTAACGCCGCTTTTTACGGGGCTCAGTGTCCCCAATGACGTGCATCATAACGCATTACAAGACACCTAGTGTTAAAGGATAATGAGCTCCACCCTGTCTTCAGTTTGAACTGTTATCACCTAATCAGTAAATAACAAGAACAGACCACATTAATCCAACCCAGCACAAGGATGAGCTTCCCTACCTTAGATCATAAATACCTTCAGAATTCACACAGACACTTTAGCTCACTGCTAATGACGCAACCTTACAAGTAGTTTCTGTGGGTCGCAGGTTTGCGCCTCGTTTGTATCTTGTTTAATGTTTGTTTGTTAATTTATTACAGGGACAGTGCATATTCATAAACATTTCTGTCAATATGCCAGAATTAGCCTAAAGGCTATTTTTCATCTGCAGTCCCTAGACAGATGTTAAGAGTCACCCTAAAAAAGATTACATAGCACTAAAAAATTAAGATACATTTAGTAAAATATCTATTATATTAGAATATACAATCTAAACGCATCAAAACAACAATCGGACAAACATCACGTAAAAACATGACACACACATAAGGAAAAAAAAGTCAACAGTGTGCGTCAAGAGCATGTGTAGTAATAGGTTAATGTTGACAACTCTGATGATCAATAAGCCATTTCCTTAACTGAATCTTAAATGAACTATACGTGTTTATATTTCTGATAGTTATGGGGGTGAGGTTCCACTCAGCAGCAGCTAGAACAGAAAAAGCAGTATGACCAAATACACTTTTCTTAAAGGGAATGATACAATCTCCCCTAGCTGCACCTCTGGTCCTGCAGGAATCAGCTGTTCGGGTATTGACAAACTGTTGGAGGGGAGGGGAAGATAAACCATGAATAATTTTATAAATAAGACATAGATTTGAGTATTTAACCATATTATCCCAACTGAGCAATCTATATTTTTGTAATATTGGACAGTGATGAGAAATACATGGTTTCTTATCCAGAGTTTTAACAGTTCGTTTGTAAAGTGATTGCAGAGGTTTCAAAGATGTAATACTAGCTTGTGCCCAAATGGGTAGACAGTAAGTGATGTGTGAGAAAATCATAGAGTGCATGTACATTTTTGCTGCCTGTGTGGACATTTGATGGCGAATGTGTCTAAAGTTACTGAGACTATTTAATTCGATTACAGACCACTTTTACATGTGATGAGAATGATAACTTTGAATCAATTAAAACTCCCAGATATTTGTATTCTGACACGATCTGCAATTTTTCCCCTGAAACAAAAATATCTGGCTCAACACTGAAGTTTTTGTGGGACTTAGTAAAAAACATTGCTACTGTTTTTGATGTATTCAGCTGCATGCAGGAGTGTTTCAACCAAGTTGTGATGCTATCCATGTAGTTAGTGAGCTTCTCAACCACCTGAGCGATATTCCTACCGTGTGCATAGACTACGGTGTCATCAGCATACATCTGCACAAAAACATCAGGACAAGCGAGTGGGAGGTCATTTATATAAATGGAGAATAACAGAGGCCCTAAATTAGATCCCTGAGGAAGACCGGTGGACAGACTCAAGGCCGCCGATTTAGATGATTGAACTCTGACATGTTGGGAACGGTCAGTGAGATAAGACTCAACCCATTTAAGTGCATCTGAGGAAAATTTAAAATTACATAATTTTGTCAGTAAAATTTTATAATTAACAGTGTCAAAAGCCTTCCTGAGATCCAGAAATACCGCTCCAACAACCCCACCTTGATCTAACAGAGCTCTTATATTTTCAGTAAGGAAACAAGTCGCAGTCTCGGTGGAGTATTTTGCTCTAAAGCCAAACTGCATAGGGTGGAGAGCATAGGGAGTGGTGTTTAGATGGTTAATAATTTGCTTTGCAATCAGTTTCTCGGCAATCTTAGACATTGTGGGCAATATACTTATGGGCCTGTAGTTTGACATGGAATGAGGATCTCCACTTTTAAAAACTGGAACAACAACAGCTGGTTTCCACATACTTGGGAACAAATTTTGAGAAATGGACAGATTAATAATTTTGGTGATGGGGGGTGTAATTGATGTACTTAAAGCCTTGAGCATCACCGTATCTATATCAAAAATATCTTTGCATCTCGATGGTCTGAGTGATTTAATGGTCTGTGATACTTCTAGTTCTGTGATATTAAATACGTTGAAAACTGAGTGACTTGTGTCTATTGGCGGAGTAAATACGTTCTCAGGTGTAAAACGGCTTGCTATGTTAGCCACAGAATCAATAAAATGATGATTAAAAGCCTCTGCTACCTCTAGAGTATTGTTTGTCAGCCGGTCATTTACTTTAATTTCTACAGTTTTTTGTTCATTGGGTTGATCACCTGTCATTTTTCTTAGCTGGCTCCATATTACTTTAGGATTTCCATTAGATTTCTCAATTATAGTAATAAAGAAATCCGCCTTTGCTTTTCTTAATGACCTTACAACTTTATTTCTCATCATGGCGAAACGTCCTCTGTCATACGTTGATTTAGTTTTATTTGCTAATTTTAGGGCTAAGTCTCGCTCTTTCATGATTTTTATAATGTCTGGATTTATCCAAGGTACAGTGTTTTTGTTATGTTTGTACTTGATTTTTTGAGTGAATTCTTTAATAGTTCTCTCAAGTGTAATTAAAAATGTTTGGCTATCTTTGTCAGAGTCAACTAAGGGTAAAATGTCATCCCATTGAATTTGGTTAGCTGCGTCTAAAAAGTTTTGATATTTACTTTTAGGAATTGTAGTGGTGCCTTTTTTATTACTAGTACAAGAATGAAAGCGTTTTTTAGTAAGTTTCCTGGTGACAAGAGTTAAATTGTGATCCGATAAACCTGTCAACATATTGAACGATTTTACAATTCTTTCTGGTCTATTGGTAAATATAAGATCGATTTGAGTCTTAGTAGAGTTAGTTATTCTCGTTGGCCCACGGACACTTGTGTTAAATCAAACCTGTCTGTGATTTGTTTAAGGTTTTTTCTAGAGAGTTTGTCCTGCCAGTTAATGTTAAAATCCCCCATTATAATAATTTCTTTATCAAGATTGTTTTCTTTTAGCAGCTGCTCAAAGTTTTCATAAAAGCTGTTATCTGCAGAGGGAGGCCTGTACATTACAACAAGGACAAAGGACATTTGTGGGGAAAGCCTGACATTGAGCCCTAAACATTCTAGATTACAATTTGACCACTGGATTTTGTGACACTGTAATGTGCTTCTTATATAAACCATCACTCCTCCCCCCTTTTTAGATTCCTGTCTGTCTGTCCTGTATATATTATAACCAGGAATATTCAGAGCTGCTAATGGGGCATTTTGATTAAGCCAGGTTTCAGATAAGCATAAAAAGTCCAGGTTTGAACCCAGTAAAAGATGCTGTATTTGCTCACATTTAGACAGTAAACTTCTAATAGGGGAGGTTTTTCTGTTTTCTGTTACAATGGCAATCTGTAAACTGAAGTTGTAAGCACACAAACCTTACTGTGTTTTCCTCTATTTTATTAACCTACTAGAACCAATCCAATATTAATGTACCGACTGTGCTTACTATAAGGTGCAACGTCTGCAGGCTTGAGAAAGGAGGATGGTTGGTGTGTGCAACTGACAAATACAAGCTTTGAATCTGCAGGGCCCTGTTTCAGAAAGCAGGTTTAGTGAAAACTCAGAGTAAATTGAGCCCGAGATGTGGGAAACTCTGGGTTTTCAGTTTCAGAGAGCGAGATCAGATTAACTCTAGGTCTGTAACTCAGGCAGCTTACGATGTGAACCTAACCTGCTCTGGAGGAGGTTTACTTCAACTAACGCTGAGTTTCTCTCCGACTCCTCTCCTGCGGAGCTGGAAGCGGTGTGACGAAAGTGACATTTCCTCATTCATACTGTCGATATCAAAGCACATATTGGAACACAGTTAGGTCTTTAGAAAAATCAAAATCACGGTTAAACAGGCTATTAGGTATTTTTTACCCAAATATGATCTTGAACATGACGCTTTTTTAAAAAAGAGTCATGTTCAACTCTCTGACAAAATACGAAATGAGCAAGATTTTATTAATGGAACATAGACGTTTAAAACTTCACACAAAAAATCATTAATAGGTATAGGCCTACTGAGTTGGACTGTGGCTTTACAATCACAGGTCCATGAAGAGCCTAAAATGTGTCTAATCTGTTCGATTAATATTTTCATCTTCAGTTATTGCCACCGGCATTTAGTCCCGTCAGGTTCCAGCTGAATAAACAGGCCTGTAGCTGTTTAAAATGAATAACAGGCTGGAGGAGAATTCGAGCACTTTATTATTCATTAAGGAAATTCCAGTCTGCTAAATGATGAATCAGCAACGCTGCATAAAATGTAATATTGTTAACGTATCAATCATGCGTTTTATAGCCAATCATGGTCCGCGTTGGCACGCACTCATTTTTCTATCTCCACCCGATTAATAGAGGCTCTGCCTTTATTTACCCGTTGCCATGGTGAATTGTAGTATCGGAGCTCCATTGATGGCTTTTTTTCATCCCCACGCACGCGCTTCCATCAGGCTCAACATACTCTGAGTTGACTGAACTTATTCTGATCGGCCTTTCTGAAATGTAAAACTCGGAGTTTGACAGCTCAGAGTTCGTCAACCCAGAGTTCAGGTTTACAACTCAGTTTGTTCAACCCTCTTTCTGAAACAGGGCCCAGGTCTTGGCAGCACAGCAGAACGGGCGATCAGACCAAGGAGGCAGAAAAGCAAGTGTGTTTCTACATGATGCATATATCTGATTATCTTTGCAGCCATTTTCATGACATTGTGGATGGACTTCCCGTCAGGTGGAAAGGTACAGCCCTACCACAGCTAGGTCTCATCCATTTCCCACTCATAAAACAGTCTAGATTCCAACGATTTAGATTTCGCTATTGTGCTTTGGTGTAACTGAAACCAAGATTAGGAGACTTTATGAGGCAGTTTAATGCATATGGGGATGCCTTTCTGATTTAATCCTAAAGAATATTAAAGTAATTAAAATACATCTGAGTTGTTCCTCCTTTCATTAACCTAATTAACCCCCCCCCCCCCCCATGATTTGTTCATCATGCTAGAAAACAAACAAAAAAAAAAGATTCAAATGCATACATTCAAGACATTTTATTGATGTAAACAATTCAAAGCCTGCTTACCATGATATGAACACATTTTTTGTTTTCAGTGTCTGGGCTTGTTCTGAAAAAGTCCTCCATCTTTAGAAAGGTGATTTCAGTAGCCAACATATCTTTAAACATTCTCTAAAAACTGGCAAAAATAAACCTCCTTGAGTTGTAGAAACTAATGAACAGAAAACCACCAAAATGAATTTCAAAGAATAAACACAGCGTTTCACTTCCTTTGACTGTTTAATTAACTGTTAAGATGTTCTTCTGTGGACCTTTTTCATCAAGTTTATCATTTCAAGCCTGAAATATTTAATTTCATGTGTAATGAATATAGAATATATAAAAGTTTCACCTTTTGAAAATATTTTAAAAATAACTGAAATTTCCACTATATAATAATTTTATTAGATGCACCTGTAGATTACTTGACATTTTAGGTGGCAAGTTTTGAACCTGCAGCAGTTCACAACTCCATCCTTGATTAGGAGAGTGCCCTTCTTTATTTTTGTAACACAGCAGATGGGGAATGAGCACAGACTCTCATTTCTTTTAGCCAAATTTTCAAATATGTGCTTAAAATTATGAAAGTTTATGGAGACCCAGCTGTGGTAGGGCTGCGTCTTTCCATGGGACAGAAAGTCTCAATGTCATGAAGATTACTGAAAAGATAATAAGGTATTCCCCTCGAAAGTTGTACCACACCAGGTTTCAAGCTGCATCATGCAGGAACACACCTGCCTCCACTGGTCTGATCGTCTGCATCCAAACCAAGAATTTCCTGAAGGAAGTAGGCCTAAGCATGTTGGTGACTTGATACATAAATAAATTATTGGTTCGGATGTATACACATCTTTCGAGCCTGATACAAACGAATTTCTCTAGAAATTAAAATATACAAGAATGCATGTATACTGTAGCCAAATCTTTAAAACGTCTAATTTATTGGTAGTGTGTGAGTGCCACCTAGTGGAGGTCTTGCATTATGTTTGGATTGTGCTGAATTAGTTCTAATTTGTTAATAAAAGTAGGGGGAAACACAGACGTTATTTACTTAAAATGTAGCTACAACACAGCGTGAACCTGCAACCTGCCTCATAGAGCAAACTTCTCACTATGACTGTATAAGCTACAATTTATCTGTCTACCTTCAATATTTCCAAACAATGACATTGTCCAACAAATTTGTAAAGGGAATAGTGGCAAGGCAAGTTTATTTATAAAGCACAATGCATACAAAGTGGAAATTACAGCCACTAAATTTGAACTGCTGTCACCCAATCAGTACAGAAGAAGAACAGACCACACTAATTCAGCACTGATCTACTTTACTGTGATCGTAGCCACCCAAAGGCAGAAAGTAACCACAGACAAGCATGAAAAACTCAACACAAAAGTCCCAGACTGATCAAGTAAATTGAATACATTTACTAAAAATATTTAGCTACTCTAGGTTATAGCTTGTAACATCTATTGATTGATGATTTTAGATCAAATTTGACATAAATAATTAATTTGCATTTTATTTATCATCACTGGCAGATTAAAGTATCTCCTAAAATAGAACATACAAACACAAAGAAAGTAAGAAATCACCATAAGTGGAACAACTATTTTTACATGGTCATCAGTGAACAGTTTAAGCCTCATTTGTCTTTTTATGAGCCCTTCAGTCGTTGTAGTATTGATAGCCTACCCTTGTTTCTACAAAGCTTTGTTTTACCATGTCATCCTAAATCCTGGCCAAAGGCAACCTGACACAAACGTGTGTTTCAGTCGATTCAGGGAAAACACAGCTTGTCATTTATTCCCTGGCTGGAAACTTTTTATTTATTTATCCAAAGCTATCCTTCCGGACTCCTGCGATAATATTTAGGTTACCCCAAAACACTACACTATACAAGTTGCTACACAAACTTATCTTATTCCATATTTATATATTTCCACATTTATTTATGTTGACTGTATGTTTGTCTACGTGTAGCACCTTATCACCACAGCAAATTCCTCGTATGTGTAAAACACTACTTGACAATAAAGCTCCTTCTGATTCTGAAAAGGCATCTGCAGGCTATTAAGATACTTGGTTTTAAAAAAACGCTGCATTGCTTTCCTCTGAAATGGACATTTTTGAGGAAGTCTTTGTGAACGCATACCTTCTGATGATACCTAAGCTAAATAATAAGATGCATGTTTTGAAATCATGTTAATCATCAATAAGCTGTCTTTACATTGTGAATAATGTTGGCTGATAATGACAAAATGAAATCGGTTTAATCAGTAAAGGTTGAAATTTATTTTACTGTGTAATCCACACAACATTCAAAATTATTATTATGAACAACCAGGATAAAGAATCTGTCAGACTATTTGTGAGAGACAATTGATTGGAGTCTTTACTACTACTAGATATTTGACTTAATACTTTGAACAATTAGGAATTATATTAAAACCATTAAAACCAGTAAAGGTATTTAAAAAATAATGCAAAAATATAATTACAACTGTAACCAATATAGCCCAAGTACATCAGTGTGTGTGTGTGCGTCTGCGTGAGGCTCCAGCTGGTGACGGGCATCACTTGTGGTCCAGTCCATCGTAGGGTGAGTGGAAGTTCTTGGGCAAAACCTTCATTTCTTGGGGCTGTTTGAACTTCAGCTCTTTAACTGGCTGGCTGGATGCGCACAGTGGGGCTGCTGTGGTGATACTCTTCTTTTAAGAGATGGGGACAGATAGGCTTCCCAGTCATCTGAGCGGTGCCATCCACGTTGTATCTAGTGGATGGAAGAATTTAAAAGGGAAAATAGGGACAGAATTTTAACAAAGTACAAAGTATGTCTTTCACAGTGGTGGAAAAAGTAGTCAGACCTTTAACTTAGGTAAATGTTCCAACACCACACTAGAGATATTCTGTATGTCAAAAGTCCTACATTCAAATTTTAAGATGAAAAGTAAAGCTAATTCTAACTACTTTATATTTTGCTGTGTGGCTTTATCTGTGAAAATACTCACTAAAGCCATCAAAATAAAGGTAGTGGAGTAGTACCTCAAAAAGAAGAGTAATTGGGCGCATGTACTTGAATACTTTTCACAACTGATTTCTATTGACACAGAAGGCAATATTTAAGAATGTATATGTCTGATAAAATACCTGATTGTTTGGAGGTCATGCAATGTTGGATCCCCAGCTTTTTCCCAGTTCCCCATCTGGCAGAAGTCCTTGAATATATGTACCTCACACAGTATGGCCTGGAATTGGAGTGAGCGCCAACAAGGTCTTCTTATCTGCATCTTCTTTGTCCTTCTGCTTCGCAGCCTTTGTGTCCCATGAAGCTGCTTCGATGTTTCCAGGCTTGAATGAACAGTAGGCATCGCACTGGTCTTTCTTTAAGTGAAAGGGAGATATATTTAAGTCACTGAAAATGTTTGACAAAACTTACATTGACAGAGGCTGTTTTCAAGAGGGCTTATACTCAGTGTGCAGGTGACTGATGGACTTGAATACAAGCTCCAGGTACACCTTTCGATGAAGAGGACCTACAGAAGTGCCATTGAACTTTCCAAAGGTCCAGAAGGAAGATCTTATGGAAGGACTGCAGAAAGCACTGTGGACTCACAGCAAGAAGATCTAATTTTCGAACCTGTCATCCCAGACCTTTCTGTGTGGAGAATGCATGTTCTCCCTGTGTCTGTGTGGGTTTCCTCCTTCCTGTGTGGGCACTCCAGTTTTCCACACCATCAAAAACATCTTAGATTAGGTTCTTGAGGCAATGAGAATGCAGAGAATGAATTTCACGTGTATGTGACAATAAAGTACCTTTTCCTTCCGTTCCTGTCCTCAGTCTTCTCATGACTTTCTCCTCTTCTTCCTGTCCACTTAAATAAACACCACTGCTTTATGCCTAATGTTGACAGGAACAAGCGTTGGCACACTCAGATTCTTCTCCAATCTACTACAAGGTGACAAATAATGGATGCTGACCTTCTGGATTCATCTGCTCCTGTCCGCCGCCGCTTTACACTGCTCCCCTCCACCACAGACTTCACAATCAGTCCAAATTCGCCCAGAAATACTTAGAAATCTTGTTCTTATGATGTGTCTTCTGCTTTTCTGCAGTAGAGTTTAGTGAACCTTTGGCAGGTTGCAGACTGGCATGGTATCCCCATTTGTCTTGCCTCCTTCAATCCAGGCCCCCTCATTCTCCTACTTTTCTGGACGTTCATGTTCCAGGTCTCTGGATTTCCCCGTCTTCCCTGACCTTCCTGGACGAGCCTCATCAGCTGCAGAGTCCTCCTCAACTCCTTCTCCTTGTGAATAAAAAGAAAACAAAAACAGAAAATCTGTAAATGTTGTCCTCACAGTGTGTCTGAGTGTGGTGTTATGTCTGTCTTTGCAAAAAGAGTGTGTGCTAAACAGTAGCAAGCAAACTAGAAAACATGCAGCATTCACTGCATTAAACACATCTTACACACACTTCTATGTGTGCATCAGTTTGTCTATGTTGAAAGGTTTTACTACTTCTCACATTATTGTGATCTGTGATTTGATCTGAGCTACATTTGTTTGCGTGAAAAGGTTTTATACAATGTGTTTTCAGTTGTTTGTATGGTTGTCATTGGTATAAAACCTCCAGAGGTGCCAAGTGTGTGCACATCCAGTCAAAAGTACTCAAGTGAAAGACAAAAAATATCACTGCAGGACACAAAGGACAAAGCTCTGCACACCGTCTCAACAACTCCTCATAAAACTATTGAAGGCAATGTTTTGATCTATGAGATCAGATCAAACCGTTGCTTTCACAAAGAGTTATTATTTTGAGTCCAATGGTGTGCAGACATTTTTCCTGAATTATTTTAATGCCTACATTCAGTTACATTTTTTGAAAAAAGATTTTATCATAATTGTTTTGGAAGTTCTACCTGAGATCTGTTAAGTGACCACTGTTTGGCAGGTTCTTGTCATGTACTGACCATAAAGAAAAGTTTAAAACCAAAATAAACTATATGTTTTTTTTTTCCAACTTACAATCAGAAGCAAAGGTCAGCTTTTAAACCTGATAGAACTAAGAATTTGACATTTTTCATGATAATTATTGATGCTGAATGATATTAGACTTTTTTTAAATGATAATATTTTAATACGGAAGAAATAAAACCAAACCTAAAAGTCAAAAACATCTGTTTTTGATTGAGGAAACCAAATATAGATCTTTGAAGCACGGTGGACTGTCCAATCATATTTTACATTGAACCACAAAGCTTTCAAACCCTATACTTGCTACATCAGCATTGAGTTGTAAAGAACAAGTTTACGTTAGCCAATCTACAAAATGTAGCAGAAGGGAGTTTCAAAACTCAATTTCACAAAATAACTTGTTATATTGTGACTATCAACCTGCCTACCAAGCCACTTTAACGTAAAGTTCAACACACCAACCTGCACAATAAACACCTAATGAACAATATGGCGAAACTTGCAGATTCCGAGTTATAAAACTGACAACAACTTGCGCAGCCTTTAAATCAATCTTATTTTGTAACATTAACGTTTGCAGCCCTTTTTTGAGAAAGCGGTCTGAAGTTAGAGCTTCACGTTACTGTAAAAGCTTACTGCTCTTATATTCCACATCGTCATCCCCCCTCCCTTTATCACTGTGGACGAGTGTTGGAACTCCAAACTAATGGACAGCTCCAAGAAAGGCCGTGAGAACAGCAGAGGCTCTATTATTGTTACTTGCAGTTGGGAACATTTTCTTTTCCAACTACAAAAGGAATAATGATTCATTTTCTGTATTATTGAGAAGGAAATATATTGTCAGATAAAATATTCATATGAAAGACTCTCACCGAATGTCATTGTGATTTCCACCAATGTGACATAGAGTCATGGGGGAGGGTACTGTAGTGTTTAAAAAGTTCCAACAAAGCTGATATTTCTTACCAAAGGTACTTCAGTGTCCTCAGTCTTCTAAAAATTTAACCTACTGGGTTTTAGGCCAAACGATTGCATCAGAATGTTGATTATACCATTGTTTGTACACCTCTTTGTTTAGTGCCAGAAGGACTGTTTTGTTTTAACTGTTTCATTGACACTTAAGATGGGGTGTTAAACAATTTTGTAGATAAGCCCTGTTTTTCTCTATGATTAGTTTAGAGCAAAAGTTTATTCCTGTAGATTGAAGGGGGTTTCACGTCTGGGATCGGCACGGTATTACAATGTCACTCCTTTATCACGGGTCCATGAAGGTGACAATTGTTCAGCACTTACTTGAACATGGAAGCACGTGAACACAAATAAATAAGTAGCAATTAATTAGTCTGCACAGTTTAGGGTGTGGACCAAACTAGGATGTGAGACTCAAGCTTATCATAGGTCTGCAGCTTATTGTTATTATGCCTTTTTTTACATGTACGCTTTATTTTTTGCTCACTGAATTATGTAGTTTGATAATTAGGTTGATTAAAAATGTTTTCTTGTTGTTGCAGCTGCAGTTTGAGACCCTCTGACTGCGCTAGCCTGAAAGAAGCATATAGATCTTTTACTTGTACAAATATTCATAGCAGTCATCTCTCCAACACTAACATTAGCTCTCTGCACTGCTCTGCTAAAACAGATGAAAGACTTGTCCAGCATAGAGCAGATTTAGCTAGCCAGGAAGTCACACACAGAACAGGCACAGCACAGCCTTTAAATTTCAAAATAAAACACTGTGCAGACTCCAAATTGTAAATCACATCACTATATCAACATTACAACTAAAACACAGCGATAAATCTTTAATCTATGTTGTTTATAACTAGACTTGAACTAGACTTAACTGTATTAACCTTTTCTGTAGGTTACAGGGCAGAAAGTAAGACATAGCATTAAACACAATTAAAATTAGACACCCTTTAACTATGTAGCCTACTCACCCATGGTAGAAGCACAAAAATATCCAAATGAAAGCAGGACAATGTTGAACTGGCCAAAATAGACTTTGGTGTGTATCTTGAAGTATTTGTCATCTTGTGAGCTAGGGAAAGCTCTCCAGCCATCTGCGAGACACTCCCGGTGGGTTCTGGCACGAGGCCAAAATGGAATAAAACCACGGCGTAGCCATTTGACGGCGCACACACTGCTGGTGGACTTCCGGCGAAGCCTTGTAGTTTGGATCCTTTGGTGCTGACTGGCTGTTCAGCAGTGTCTTCTTTGATCTTCAGCTCTTGTAAAGCATGATATTCATTTGTTTTTTTTTCTCTCTCTCCAGGTTTTGCTGTGGCTTGTCCATCCAAGGCCAAACTGTCATGACGAGTACATGGATCCTGTTACGTGTGCTACCTCATCACACCCTTTTTGTTGAACTGCAAAATGCTGCACTGCCAATATTACTACAGAATTTAATTTTGTAACGAGGACACACTTCAACAAAGGTTGATGGCAAATTTCATATAGCAGATGTATTTGGTGGGTCTGCTGGTCAATAAAAGTTGTATTTTCTGTTGCATCAAACCACAGACTGTAGCTTCAGCAATGCCAAGAGCGAAACAAAAATAGTCTAACCATTGTGCTTTGTAAATATGACACAAATAAACACTCAGAAAATAGTCCCTTATTTCTGTCTTTGGTCAAAGGTAGTGATGATTGATCATGAAAATGTGTTATTTGTCCCTAAACACTGATGTTAATTGCTTGTCAGCTCAGCCCATGAAGAGGAACCAGAGAGAAAAAAACAATTGTTTTTTCATAAAGCAGATTCAGTGAGTGTGTGAGATCCTTACTTAGTGGCTCTTCCACTTCAGTGACTCAAATACAACAGGTCTGAAACTATGTGTCCTCTGCTGATATCTACTGTCCATCTTTGTAGCACAACCCCAGCTTTTTGTTTACTGTAATGAGAATGTTTCAAAACAGAGACCAGATTTTTTGGGAACAGAATAAAACGTAGACACAAATGGACTTTTTAAATCACATTACTTTTAAGTTAAGTGGCGTCCCCAAACTACGATGAGGTGTACAGTCGATTCTATAGTAAAGTACATGTTGAGGTCTGGTTATGAGAGAATATAAACTAATTTCTACTTTGGATGGCTAATGGTACTGTTACAATGGATAATGAACATTGTTGATCTGGTATTTATATTAACTACGGTATATAACTACGGTAATGTGCTATTAGATTAATTCATAATAATGTCATTATTAATATTTTATAATTAGCCTATAATGTAGCCCATTAAAACATAATGCTGAGTTTGTTTCAATAAATTTAAATCACCTTTAGCCAACTAATCTTCATTGGTCGTATTAATGTGGCAAGGTGTTATCTTCAATAACTGCCTTAGATGGGACCATACTGGCAGCCCCTGTTGCCACCGCCAGGGTGTGTGCCACTTTCGTCTTGTTTAGCTGGGAAATTTGATCAACTTGATAACACATCAAGTCCACACATCAGGAGGACAATCATAGTGTAGTCAAACGATGCATCACATCGTTGAATGAAAGGACACATTTCATTGACAGAGGGAGACGACATGTAGTAACAGGGCCGTGCAGAGACCTTTGGAAGGGCAGGTGCTGAAAGTATAAAAAGGGCACATGGTACAAGGATTTAAATAGGACTCTTCTTATACTATTGACACAGAAATATATTGTTATGTATTCCTTGTTGACAAGCATATACAGATGCTTCTGTATCGATACATCAGCAAATGCTGTGACGCAAAAAGAAACAGGGAATACCCAACTCTAGCTTTAAAACACTGTGCGCTGACATAACCTACAGGGAACAGTTGCTGTTGAGGGGCTGCTGGGGATGCGGCTGCTGCTGCTGTGTTGTAGTTGCTGATACTACTGGAGGTGATCTGTGACTAACTGCTGTAATTCTGCAGCCACTGCCAAGGCTGACAGCTAGGGAGACGCTCACAGAGCTGCACACCAACAACTGCAGGTAGAGGAAAAAAGATACCAGATTCAAAAAAAGGCTGGGAAATAATCTGAGAAGGAAACATTAATGGGGAAAACATGAGGGCGGCCATGACAGGGGTAAGAGTGACAAACAAATCTATAGACAGAGTTGTGTGTCTGTGTTGCTTGCTTGTGTGTCTACAGTATGCAATATTGTGATAATGATTTTATATATTGCATTGTGAATCTGAGATATCTTGGGATTTTTATTGACTATTGACTCTAATCATAAATCTAAATTAATAAACTAGCATTAATCTTTTATAATATTCCTGACATCAAAGTAAAGAGGGAAGAAGAATTGGCCCTTTTAGATTTCAGAAAAATGTATGAAATGTTGTGTGCAGCTCTGTGAGCGTCTCCCTTGCAGTCAGCCTTGGCAGATGCTGCAGTATCAAAGCAGGTCAGTCACTGTGAGCCAGTCCCAAACACTCAACAATCTGTACATCTTTTCAAGGTCCAGTTATTGAGTTTTTATTGTAGTTGAGCTGTTGTAAACACTAGCTATTGTTACTGTCAAAATGTAAATATATTCAATACTGTTCTGAATTTAATGATCATTTTAAAAAAGGGCTGATAAGTAGGCTATAAGTCGGGGAATAGGCTTAGTATTTTACCAATACTGTTATACTTATTTTAAGGCACAAGGCTTTAAGTCACTGTAATAATCCTAGTTCAAGTGAAAAGATTTTAGTCATATTACACAGAAAAGATCAGACCTCGTTTATCTGTGTGTAGAAGTAACGTTACCTGTCGGCACAGTGTTAGTCGGCATCTGATGTTACTTATGCAGGCGACACACAGCAATATACAACTACTGTGCTGCTCTCTTTGTGTCTTTCTTGTAAAAAGCGCATCCAAAGACCCACAACAAGCACTCTTACCGGCAGAATCGAAG